TGTGTGTGTGCATTCATGCCTGCCTGCCTGTCTGTCTGTTTGTGTCTCTGTGTGTTCCAGTTTCATCAAGGATATTTACAGGAGCATGACTAAGGGGTTACTTATAGTGTCATAGGTATCTTAGTAGTGGCTTCAGAACTCCCTTCCATATAATCATTAGATCCTGTGTAACCAGGGTGTGTGATGTCTTCAGCAATAGGGGCTTACCTTCTAGTTCTGATGGGCAACCAAGAGCAATGACAATGACCAGTATTGTTTCTACTGAGGTAGACTGCCTGGTCAACAATTCATAGAGAAGTAGCCCATCCCTGATTGAGTTTTCACTTAACAGCCAGCCAATGACTTCTAGGAGCAGCTTTATCCATTCATACATCTGTTAAAACTTTTTAAATTAATTTTGCATTACAGTTACTCACTGTGTGCATATGTGTGTGAAGGTCAGAGGACAACTTACTAGTTCTCTCTTTCCACTGTATGGGTCCTGAGATATGGTCTCACTATGTAGCCCTGGCTGACCTGGAACTTATTACACAGAACAAGCTAGGCTTAAACTTACAGGGATGCACTTGCTTCTGCCTCCCAGTGTTGGATGTACAGGCCTTGGGCCTTTAAAAAGGGGCTGTACCATTCTATCCACAATCATGACTTTCTTACAAATATAAAATGGACTTTTTTTTTTTTTAATACAGGGTCCTGGAACTCACTCTATAGACCAGGCTGTCCTTGAACTCATAGAGATCTACCTGCCTCTTCCTCTCAAGTGATGGGATTAAAGGCATTTGTGTACCAACACCCAGCATGAACTTTCAAGTTTTATTTCATTCAATAATTATTGAGTATTATCACAACCAATTAAAAGGAGAACTAACATGTATACAAACACACACACACACACACACACACACACACACACACACACACACACGAAGACAAAACCAGGAAAGTAGAGTGAATCTATAAGTTAGAGAGAGGCCTGTCACCTACAAGAGAAAAATCACATTTCACCTGACTCAATACATTTACATTCCTATCGACAAGGATTATTTAAATAGTGATGATTTTCTGTAATTTAGAGTTCTACAATAAGTTTGAGACAATAAAAGAAATAGATTTTTAGAAGATAAAATACCTGGAAATATGCACTAGATGACACACACAATAATTTTGTAATTTGTATTTTGAAGTGCATTTCAAAGTAGTTCACAATTTTTCATAGGTCAAAAAAATAGTATTTGTCAATCAAATTGAAATTTCAAAAAACAAAAACAAAACAAAACCCCACAGGGTGGTGGCAGCACATGCCTTTAATCCCAGTACTCCGGAGGTAGAGGCAGGTGGATCTCTGTGAGTTTGAGGCCAGCCTG